ATATATATTAAATTTTGCGTTTAAACGTAGTAGCCCTATTTATTATTTGAGTGCATGTTTTGTTCATTTTTAGTTACTTTTGCTAATTTTTTGCCCAGTAATAAAAAAATAGATGGCAAAAACCAAAATTTCTTAATAAAGAGCATGCAATAACAAAAGAACAAATTAAAGAATAGACACACATATCCACACTTTCTTTATTACCCAGATTTTTCCCACTCAGCATCAAACCCTAAAGATAAGATTGAAACAAATACTTAATTAGAAAATGAATATAATGAAAATTTAAAACCGACCCCCATTAAATTTGGTTCCGTTTCCAAGATTTTCTTTTTATTCTCCTAATTTTTTTTGGGTACCTTTAACAGTAGGTTTTTTTCTAGTCAAAAAGCAAGAAATATAAAGGAAGGGCTCCTGACTTATTACAAAAAGGAAATTCTTTTTTATCGATTCAATTCGTGACACTTAATCTGATAATGCAATTATTAAAAAGGAAGTCACAAAACATGAAGCATCCCGTGCAGTTCTATCTCCAAAAAGTAATTAAGTATATGCGTAAATTAATTTTTGTTATCTATCCACTCGACTGAATATATCTTATTGTGCTTCTCACTTTCCATGAGTCATACATGCAATAATATATCAACAGAAGCAGCATCTGATGCTAAAATTGACATTACAAGAAGAGTTTTAGTTGTACGAATTGGTAGTACAAAAAATATTTGTACAATTAAATTAATAAAAATATTATAAAGGAAGTTTTATAATAAACATTAAATGATAACTTGAAAAAATAACTGACCATCTATAATAAATTAAAATAAACTACACTAATAAAGAAGGAACATATGACTGTTATTTATCCTTACCAGAGCTTGCTTATCTTTGGCTTCCTCAGCCACCTCAGCTCCCCTGGTTGACTTCAGGTACTTCTCAATCAGCCCTTGCATGGTCCTTTCATCATAAATAACACATAAATAAATAAAAGAGACGAACAACTACAATAACATATTCAATATATTCTTATATATGAGATCAGGAGATAGTGTGTATGCAGATCTTATCTTTACCTAGTAAAGATAAAAAGACTATTTCCAGTAGACCCTACCCTCGGCTCAGAAAAATAGGAAGGAGAAGAAAAACAATAAGACGAAGAAGCGGAGGAAGAAGAAGAGAGAAAAAACTTAAAATCTAAAAGTAAAAGGAGCTGTAATATTTTAGGATAAAAATAAGAAATAACAAAAAATGCAACCAACGAACTAGTACTTCTATATTATCATGTTAAGCGTGTACTTGAAATTGATTAAGATCTTATTTTACATTTCATTGTGAAATGACAAGAATTTTACATGTTATATTGCACTATGCATAAGAAGCGAATTCAGAATTTAGCGACTAAAGAATATAAATTATTATTCTTTTGTACTTAAATAGAGAGAAACTATATTAGATACTTATAAAATAGATTAGGTATTTGAGTTTAAGTTCTATGTTCTAAAAATATAAAAAAATATATATACAATCAAGGAGTGAGTGGTGTACCCTTTAGTGGCGAGTTCATAGCGCTTTCCATGGGCGGAGAAAATGAAAAGACCAATTTCAGCATCGCACAACACGGACAGCTCCTTCGCCTTCTTAAGAAGCCCTGCGCGCCGTTTGCAGAAAGTCACCTGCCTGTGTACCGGGTTCTCTATCCTCTTCATCTGAACCTTTCCACGAGCCATATTCTTTCTTTCTTTCTAAAAATAGTAACTTTCTGTTTTCTTTTTGCTTTGTGAGTATTAACAGCTGCTTTTTTGGCAGACAACCTCCCACTAGTTTGAACTAGCTTCGAGGTTGTTGCACTTCTCTTCTTGTTCGCTACTTAGTTTAGTTGCTTAGCACAACCTTCACTCTTATTCTCTCATGTTTTCCTCTCTTTTATACTCCTCATTTTGATTCTTCTCTTCCACTGTTTTCCACACACTAGTTAATGTATTAAACAAAAGAATTAACTATGAATATGTAGTTGGCACTCAGTACCTTTCCACATCATTGGGAATCTTAATTAGCTTTCTATATGTTAGAGTACTATTATACATTCTTTTTTGGTACCCATACCTAAGCTATTTCGTCGTCAACTGGCTTAACGACACCTGGTGAATCCTGATGTATCAGTCTTGTTGCAGCTTAAAGACAACTCATATCTTTTGTAATGGTAAAGTTGATTTTTCCTTTGAAATATAACGTGTCGCCGAAGGATTGGATGGGGATACTTGGTCATGTTTACATCAAATCAAACACTAGAAAAAAAATAAAAATTAAAGCGAGTGTATATATCTAACCATAGTTATGTGATAAATGTGTAAATACATAACACATATCTTACATTTATTAATTTGTCACAATCCAATTATCTAATTTACAATGGCACCTAACGTAACTCGTCATGCGGCGACGTACTCCAACATTACCAGTGAAACTTCACACAAAAATTGACATACAAAAGGTAAAGGATTTTTTCTCTCTGGTAATGGATCCCCAACCCTATGAACAACAACAACAAAACACAATACCCCCTAAGCCCCCAGATATTGACCAAAGCATCACCAAACCTAGCTTCAAGGAGATGCTTACCAATTCAAATCCTTTGTTATTCAACACTATAGAATATCACCAAGACATAAACCCCCTATTGATAAATCCGGATGACCAACTAGTTGATCAACCATCCTTAACAACCTCAAAAGGCATCAAATGCATAACACTCTCTGATGAGGAGAAGGCACGAATCTATGAGCCATGAAAAAACTCCATCATAGTAAAACTAGTGGGCAAACGTATGCTACACCACTATCTAAATAAAAAAAATTCAAGAATTATGGAAGCCTTCGGAGGATTTCCAATTGATTGATCTGGGAGTAGATTATTGTATAATAAAATCCAAAAAAAAGAAAAATATGGATAAGGCAATGCATCAAGGCCCTTGGTTCATCAACGGGCACTTCCTCTCCATTACTAGATGGAAACCAAATTTTGTTGCCACTCTAGAAAAGGTCACAAACACAACAGTATGGATTAGACTGCCCCAATTACCCACAGAATTTTACGATGGAAAAATTCTGGAAAAAATTGGTAATGCAATTGGCCGGCTCCTAAAAATTGATGTTTGCACATCAACAACTCTAAGAGGTCATTATGCAAGATTATGTGTGGAATTACCATTGGAAGTTCCAGTTCAACCATTTATATAATGTTGGCCATCACAAACAAATAATTCACTACGAAGGTGAAAATTTCCTTTGCAAAAAATGTGGAAGATTGGGGCATATAGCACAACAATGCTCCTTCATTAATCAGAGAATTAATGACAGCTCGAATGAAGCCTCAAACAAGGAATTATCCACAATTACAAGTGAAGAAGGAAAAGAGCTATGGACAACAGTCTCCTTCTCTAAAAGAAGACATCAAGGTGCAAAACCCCTCCTAAAACAACCCATTGCAAATCCGGATCAACAAGCTAATAGTCCAGGTATCTCTGTCAAGCTTTTCAATGCCGTCACTGGTAAGTATCTAGACACTCAACTATTACAATATAAATCTAAAGAACAAAAAAATTCTACCCCATCATCACAAACCACCAATCTCAAATCTTCGGTTTCTTTGATTAAGGATCAAACAAATTTGCATACAAAAAATAATTTTGCTATTCTAGCTGAACAGCCTGTGGTTTTGAACAAAACCACTAAAGAAAGTAATAATCAAAATCTTATTTTTAATAAATCACATGCAAGTGAACAAATATCTCCAATTACTAAGGATATTGACATGGTGGACACAAACGTGTCTCCAACTCCTAGTCTTACAAAGCAAATGGTTAAGGTGGCCATGCAAGACAACTCCCATAATGACCATATTACCCCTATTAAAAATTCAAGACACTACCAACAACACTACTCTTCCTAGTGGGCAAATTAGTAATCAACCTTCTATTAACCACAATATCAAGCAAGATCTCTTATCAAGATCTGCTTATCCGCCAAAGCCTAAGCATGTTAGCCAAATGGCTATTAACGAAGAACAATCATGCCAAATGTCCAACAATCCAATGCACGCAATGGAGTTGGAAGCTCAACCTATAAACTCTTCTCTTGGGGACTCAAACGACATGCAAAAGCCTTCCCCAATCATTACCCTATCGACCACTCCTCTCCTTATACCTAATAGCCCCCCCCCCCCCCACGCCTGACTTAGGATTAATTAGTACCCTGAACACTATTGAAAATGCCATCCATTCCATCATCCATACAGAGAAGACAAAGACTCCTCCAAATTCTTCGACAAAACCGAATCACCATGGAAAATCTCCCACCTCCCAATCCACAACAAGTGAATCCACAAGTAATATATGTTCAGCCACCTCAAGCACAAAACTACCAATCAGTGTCATTGATAGACATGGGTCTAATGGGCCATGCATGCTCCTTCAATATCCAAATAAATGGCCAGAACGCAGTGGTCATCCTCCACGACACCTAGTATCTAGCCCAGCTAGTGACAGAAGGCATGAGGTTGGCCATGAACAATTACTTGAACCAAGCATGGCTCAACAATATTCTACAACCATTAGCTCCTTCAGTGAACCCACAACTGGTCCATGCAATGAGGAACCAGTGGAATCTCCCTCCACACTTCAATCCAATTTATCCCCAGAATGCTCTAATGGACATGCCATTCTTCATGCCAGAAAACCTCTCTCAGCTGAACCCTATATTTCTTCCATGGGAACAACCCCAACCAGTCCAGGAGCCTCCAATACCAGAACAACCACTCTCCCCACCCCACACTCCAGTAAATGTGCAGGAACCAGTAGAATCATAAATGGAAGAGGAGGAGCCACTAAATCTTCTCTTAGAACGAGTCCTAGAAATCTCAAGTCTAGACGGGGTAAAGGTGTTTCTCTTCTCGGAGAGGCAAGAGAAGAGGCATGTTCTCAGCTGCCCATTAGCATTATACAAATGCTCGATGGACATAAGACCTCCACAGGATCCAACAGTAGGAAATCGAGCCATGATCCTAGTTCCATCACTTCGGAGGAACCCTGTGCTAGGGGAAGTAAGGGAGAATGGGAATCCAGCCAACCACAACCATAATATATCCATGAATAGACCTACTAACTTTATCATTTGGAACATTAGAGGAGGAAACAATGATAACTTTAGAAGGAACTTCAGGGAAATGGTGGATACTCATAGACCATATCTAGTAGCTTTGCTAGATACTAGGATGGGAAATCACTTGGAGCTATTGGATAATTATGGTTTTACGGAGTTCATTGAGGTACCAGCGGAGGGCCAGGCAGGTGGGATTGTGGTTCTTTACAATCATGAAATAGTCACAGTTTACAACTTTGTTCGTAGGGACCAGGAGATTCATGCAACAATTGAGGTAATCCCTATCTATCAAAAGTGGCTTTTTAGTGCTGTTTATGCTAGTACTAACATACTTATTCGTAATAAAATGTGGGATAATATCGAAAGCATTAGAAATAGTTACAATGGACCTTGGTTGTTAGGAGGGGACTTTAATGACATTTTTTGCTCAAGTGAGAAATTTGGAGGCAACAATATAAGAGAGAGTAGAGCTAAATACCTTTGGTCTAAGATTAATCATTGTAATTTAATCGACTTAGGTTATAAAGGGTGTAAGTACACTTGGTCTAACCTTAGACACAAAAATAGGGGGTTGATTATGGAAAGATTGGATAAAATTTTAGGAAATGAGGATTGGATAAAGCTCTTTCCAAAAAGCTCCGTTATTCATCTACCAAGAACACACTCGGATCATAATCCCATACTAGTGGAATTAACTCCTAAAAGAAATATTCTTTATAAGCCCCCCTTTCGTCTAGAAATCTACTGGTGCAAACACCCTTCCTTCAAAACCCTAGTTCAAGAAAATTGGTCTAACAATGACTATAATAGGGCTAGTATTTTGTTTAAAGAAAAAGTTCAGCTTTGGAGACACCAAACATTTGGTGATATCATGGGTAAAAAAAGGAAAATATTTGCCCGGCTTCAAGGAATTGAAAAATCAAAGCACTACCCTCATAGTATTTTTCTACAAAACCTTCACTCTAGCCTCACCAAGGATTACAATGACCTTTTACTAATCGAGGAGGATTACTGGAAGTTAAGATCAAGAGTTTTATGGCTCAATGAGGGAGATGCTAATACAAATTTTTTCCACATCTCGACCACTTATAGAAAAGAAAGAAATAAAATTAATTTTTTCAAAGACAATGCTGGGAATTGGATCAATGACCCTAATCTAGTATCCTCCCACGTTTGTAATTACTTTACAACTATGTTTACAATCTCCCATGATAACTCTAGTAGAATTAGCCCTCTTCATAATATATCCCAAAATGGCTTAAATCTAACTAGTCTTGATAACCCCCTTCTAAATATTGAGATTAAAAAGGCCATCTTTTCTTTTAAACCCTTCAAGGCACCTGGACCGGATGACCTTCATCCTTTCTTTTTTCAAAAGTATTGGGATTTAATTGGACCCTCGGTCACAAATCTTTGCCATAACATCTTTGAAACCCAAGAGATCCCCCATGATATCAACAAAACTTATTTGTGCCTTATTCCAAAAATTCCAAACGCTAACAACTTAAATAATTTTAGACCCATTGGTCTATACGACACTATTTATAAGGTCATCACAAAAATTCTTGCATATAGACTTAAGCCTTTCCTTGACCAACTGATTTGCCCTTACCAAGCTAGCTTTATAAAAAATAGAAGGGTTTCGGATAACGCTATTATCATACAAGAGCTTATTTCAAGAATTCATAAGCTAAAAGGGAAGCAAGGTCATATGATTCTCAAAATCGATCTTGAAAAAGCCTTTGACCGTTTAGAATGGTCATTTGTGCATCACACCCTAACTTATTTCAATTTTCCCCTAAAATTTA